AGAAAGAATGATAACAAAGGCTTGTGGCTTGGACTCTCTGGACTGTGATTGGCCATTAATTAGAAACAATCACATGAGACCAATCACAGATGCACCTGTTGCATTCCACAGCAGCAGATAACCATTGTTTACATTTTGTTCCTGAGGCCTCTCAGCTTCTCGGGAAGAAAAATCCTAAGGAAAGGATTTTTCAGAAAAGATGTCTGTGACAGTTTTTGACTTGTCTCACGGCACTGAGCAGGTGTTTCACTGGGGAGGGGAGGGGTGATTTTTTTGGTGTGGACAGCTGAGCTGTCACTCCTGCAGGTGTGTAATCCAGAGCCTGCTGCAGTGGCCTCAAAAAGTTCATATGTTAAATGGTTAAATTAGTGTTAAGTTCTGATAGATTGGATTGTGGTCAGAATACCTGAGGTGCAAATCCAGGAGGAAAAGGGAGGAACTGAGATCCCCAAACCCACCAGAGAGCCTGAGCAGCAGAGGGGTCCTGATCTGTCCTTGTCTTCCCTGGCCCCTGCAGGGTCCAGATTCCCACTATGGAACCAAAGGACTGCGCAAAGTGATCCATGAATCACCAACAACGGGAGCCAAAACCTGCTTCACGTTCTGTTACGCGGCTGGGAACAACAACGGCACCTCGGTGGAGGATGGACAAATCCCAGAGATCATCTTCTACACATAGTGCCACTGCCAGCCCCCCTGGACTCGACTCTTCCCTGCCACCTCCCAAACTGAATCTCTGGCTGAGTTTGACCACACCAATTGGAGCCACACTAGCCAAAGGTCACAGTGAAACCATTTCAAAGCTCATCTTCTGCCTTGTGCTAGTGCTGCTGCTGCTCTCAGGTGCCAGGCCAGCTGGTGGCCCAGTGCAGCCCAGCTGGTGGCCCAGTACCATTTGTAGGTTGTCTGTGGCTTGTTGTTTTTCACCTCCTGATTAACCCTCTCTAACAACGTGCGTTTTTTGGACTGTAATGAATGTAGATGCTTTTCCACCGGTCAGAAACAAGGCAACGAGTGGCTCTGGTTGTGGTTTCACTTGCCATGAGGAGATGGTCCTGCAGACAGACTCGGGCAGGGCTGGGTGGCCTCTGCTCTGCCCCAGCTCAGCAGTCCAGGCCACACTGCAGGGCTTGGCCAGCCCGTGTCCAGCACCTTCCCTCCCTCCCAGCAGCCTCAGCACGCAGAGCCGCCTTCAGAAGTCATGGCAAGTGGCCTTTTCCCTGAGGCTTTGCTGTTCCAGCACTACACAGGCTTGGAGACCTCAAAGCTGAGCTCCTCTGGAGGGACTGAGGCATTTTCCTGCTCTTCCCACCCATGTGTGACAATCTTCACCTCGGGCAGTTGGTGGCAGCGAGGTGACCTCCCTGCAGAGTGGTGGGGGGCAGCTCCTCCTGCATTCTGAGTCCCCGTGGTGCTGCTTCCACACCCCTGGCACGTCCCAAGGGCTGGTGATGCTCAGCTCAGCCCTGGGCAGCCCCAGCTCTGTTGTTGTCACTGGTCATTGTCCTTTGCAGAGTGCCAGGGTTTGTCAGTTGAAGCAGAAGGGCTCCTGCCTCACCTGTTCCAGGGCATTCCTGCATTTCCATGCACGTTTCCATGTGTTTCCCTCTGTTCCTGTGCATTGCTGCCTCACCCCTGATGGGAGCAGGAGGAGAGGCTGCATGTGCACCTGCCTGTTACTACAATGCAGCAGATGGACAAGGATTTACCAAATGGTTCAGGAGAAGGTGGAATGTTCTCTGTGCTGGTGTGTGTTTGCACACTGCCTGTTGGCAGGCACAGGAGGGGGATCACAGACATCACTGCCGAGCTGTGGAGCTCGGTGACCTTGAGGATCCCCCTTGTTCAGGGCCAGCTGCTTTTCCTTGTGGCTGCCACAGAGAGGGAGGCTGGTCCAGCCCCACCCTCACTGCCTACCAGTGAAGACCACCAGACTCTTCCTCCCTCCTCTGGAATCAAGCTCAGCCTGGCAGGAAGCCCAGAGCCCTTGGAGTCTGCGTGGGACTGGCTGAGGTGGTGCTGCCTCAGGGCCCCTTCTCCAACCTCCTGCTCCAGCACACGGAGCCACTGCCACTCTCTGGGCAGCTGCTGCCACTGGATTTCCCTGCTGGAAGTCAAAACCTGGCTGTCCTTGGCTGGAGCAGGGCTTTTCCTCCTCCTCCTGCTGCCCCAGCCGGGATCCTGGGGCTGGAGTCTCCTCCTCAGCCTGGGAATGCCCTGCACCTCCTCAGCAGCAGCTGTTAGGGGTGCCCAGAGTGTGTTCTGTGCTCCAGGGAGATGGTGTGAGCTGTGTATTGTCAGCCTGCTCCCAGGTGGGATGGTTCTAATATGGCCAGTACTAAAAAAAATAGAAAAAAATAGAAAAAAAATAGAAAAAAATCCCAACCTGGGTCCATGACCTGGTGACTGAACCCAACTCTGTGCAATGCAAACAGTGCTGTGGGATGGATGCACAGAATCTGTGTCCATCAGGCTGTCTGTGACTGTGACTGTGCCTGCTCCTGTCACCACCCCTCTCCCAAGGGTGGCAGGAATGTCACTGCTGCCAGCCAAGCTGGAGCTGCACCTCCCAGGGGCTCTGATGTGGGTTCTGCACCTCGGGGCATCAGGTACAGGGGGAAAGAGTGGAATAATTGGAATTCGGGAGAAGCAGAGCTGTGCACTCGGCTCTGGGGGGAGCAGGGCTGGGGCAGGCCCTGCCCAGCTGCAGGGGAGCCTCCCTGGCTGTTCCCTGGAACTTCTGTTGTTCTCATGATTATTTTGTTACACAGATTCTCGTCCCAAACCCCACCTTCCTGCCCTCCCTGCGCGGGGCAGGTCTGGCAGCTTGTCCTGTCACGGAGGGAGGGAGAGGAGTCAAACTCTGAACTACACCTGAGCAACTTCTGTTCTTCTGGCTTTTCTGCAGTTTGATGCAATTCTGGCTTTTGTAGATAGATGAATGTAATTCCTTGTTGGACATGCCCGTTCCCAGAAGTATGAGCCATTCTGTTGTACCACGTCACCTTCCAGCAGAGCGGGCCCCGCCCGCTCCTGTGCTCTTTGATGAATGTATCCGATGCTCTCGTCCCGTGTTCACACTCTGCTTTTTGGCCAGCTTTGTGATTTGTAAATAGGAAAACAATAAAGACATCCAGGTTGTCTTTATGAAGTTTCTTTGTGATGGGAGGAGAGTGATGGCTGAGGGAATGGTGGAGGGGAGATCTGGGCCGTGCTGGCTCCTGGTCCATCTCCCCCAGCCGAGAGTCTGGGGTCCTCAGCTTCCCATCCATGGGCTGTGGGATGAGCCACATCCCCAGAACTCCTGAAGCCTGGCACTCACTGCTGGGGGGAGTCCAGCCCTCGGGGTATGAGCTGGTGGTAGGAGGGCAGCAGGATGGCAGAGTGGGCACACTCTGGTCTGGGTGATGTCATTTTATGACTGAATTTCTTAAACCTGGATTGGAGGTTTTTGACAATTAAATGAACTAAAAGCTGCCTCAGCTTGGGAGGAATGCAGATCCTCTGGCCAGTGATTCCCAGCATGGAGAGACTTTAGGGGCTGCTGGAGCAGGGACGAGGGCCGGGCTCTGCTCCTGTGCCCAGCACAGCTCCCACGGTCACTGAGCTCCATGGGGGCACCAGAGCCCTCCCTGCCCTTTGCCCGAGGGAGCCCTTGGAGCCGTGATGAACGTGAGCCCCGGGGCCAGGGGCAGCTTCCCAGGGCTCCAGATCGTGCTGGAGCTGGGCCTGGGGACCCTGCAGTGCCCGGAGCAGGGGGAGCCCAGCCCGGCCCGGCCCAGCCCGGCCCAGCCCAGCTCCCTGCTGGAACACCGAGCTCAGCTGGGAATCACCTTCCTGCACCATCACCTTCCTCACTCAGGGGCTTTGCAGGACTGCCCAGAGCCATTCTCTGACCTTTTTCCCCCGAGATTTTCCTCCTGCTCCTCCAGGAAAGGTTCCTGGTCCCCCCTGTGAGGGGCTGGGGCTGCTCCCACCCACTGCTGAGGGAGCCTCCAACAAAAAGGGGGTGCTTGGGCAGTGTCCTCACCCTTGGGAGCCACACAATGAAGGACAGAAAAACGTGTTGGGTTTTAAAGATTTTTTTTATTTTATTCTTTTTTTTTTGTTTTTATTAAAAAAAAGCCCCTAAATTCTATGGCTTCCAGGAAGCATCAGAGAAATTGAAATGCCATATCTGTACACTTGGTTTTAAAGCAGTAACTAAACTCGCAATGGAACAAACGCTCTCACGTACAATCGCAGTATTTGGACTCCTCGCTGGAAGGACAGAGAGCCCCGGGCTCGGGCCCGGCCCCGCGGCCGAGGGAGCGCGCACAGGGCCGGGCACACCCCGGGGCCGCCTCCCCTTCCCTTCCCTTCCCCTCCGCGGCTCCTCTTCGGCCTCTGCCGGGGCTGCTCTGAGCCGACGCGCTGCCAAGGGACCACTTCCAGTGAAAATTTTAAGGCGATTTTAAAAATTCGTTTGTTCGCCTCGCTGGGGACACGAGGGCAAACGTTGCACGTCCCCTTCCCGCCGCGGCCGGGGACGCGGCAGCAGCTGGGGCCGCAGCCCGGACAAGCCAAAGCCGGGGTCAATCCCGAATTTCGGATGGAGAGGGGCCGTGGGGAGGGCACGGCCCCGTGGGAGACCCCGCGCCCCCCCCAGCCCCTCCACAACCCGAGATGGTCAGTTTGGACAAATGTTTCAAAGCAGCCACAGATGGTCCCATCCCTCCCCCGCCCCCCCAGCACAGCCTCAGCCCCTTCTGTTGGGGCAGAACAACAGGGTTTTGGTAAAGATAAAGTGTGTGTCCCCCCCCAAAGTGTCACGATCAATACACACGACAGCGCACGGGGTCATTCACGTGGGGAGCTGCAGTGCCCTGGGGGTGCCGAGGAACGCGGGGGTGCGGGGGGTGTCCGTGGGTCAGTTCCAAACCTGCATTTCCCCAGCCGCAGGACAGGCCGGGAGGATCCCGCGGGGATGCCCTGGTGGGGATTCCATCGCTCCACCCCGGCCCGGCCCCAGCCCCGGCCCCTCGGGGGGCTCAGGCTGTAAAACCAAGAGGCCGATCAAGCCCTGCCCACACCAACATCCAGCCCCAAGACATGGCAGCACCAGAGACGAGGCTGCTTCGCTTCCCCTCCCTGCTTTGCCACCGCCATTCATGGGTCCCTTTGGTCTCGGCCGTCCCTGTCCCTGTGTCCCCCAGCCCCTGGGAGTCTCGGACCTGCTCTCGGCGGGACCGGACGGCGCCTGTATTGCTCGCAAAAGTGCATCGTAAATGAACTGTAAACGCGTTTCCTCTCCCCGCCCCCGCGGCCCCGGCTCTCCCCGCTCCGAGCCCGGCGCTCGCCACTGACCGAGGGGACCCGGCGGGGACGCGGGGCGGGGCCGGGAGGAAGAGCAGAATTCGGTAACACTGAAGATGACGGTCAAAGACTGACGACTCAGCACTCTGCACCGAGACTCACTTTAAATTAACTTAAGAGACAAAGAAGCAACAGAAAAAAAAAATATTCCTCCTTAGCCCACTGCTCTTGAAATTGTCTTCGTCTTCTTCTGACAGCGACGGGTCAGAGTCTGTAGTTGATCCCCATTTCAGACCGGTCATAAACTCAAAGCAAGTGACGCCGTGGGTTTTTTCTCTTTTTCTTTTTTTTCTGTTTGACGGACGCAGGAACTTCAGCGAAGTTGGGCTTGGTTCGAGTAAACGGCCACGAGTGGCGGAGGAAAGGACAAAGCAGTTTGGGGAGGCCCCGCTCCCCAGCTGCGCGCGGGGCGCTGGGGGAGCCCGTCCGGCCCGGCCCCCCCGTCCCCGTCCAGCCCCGGGGCCCGCGGGCTCCGCGGGGCGAGATCCAGCCACGGCCAGAGCGAGAGGAGCCGGCGCTCGCCGCTCCGCCCGGGCCCGGCTGCTCACTTGCGACGCTTGGTGGTTTTCCTCTTCCTTCTCTTGAAGAAACAGCAGCACCTGGGGACAGAGGGGACCCGTCAGCACGGAGGGCGCAGCAGCAGCCCGGGGGTCAGGGAGGACAGAAACGCCTCGGTGCCCTGGTGAGCCCCACGTGGGCAGAGCTGCTCCACCAAGTGCCCCTGGTACACGGAAGGGGTGGACTGGGAGCACCACAAGTGACAGCAAAAGTGACATGTGCCACAGCAAATGGCACTTACCAGGGGGTGACACTGACCATGGCACACGAGGCCACGAGCCAGGGCCAGGCAGGGACTCCAGAGAAGGAGCAGTCCCAGATCTATCCATGCCCCTCTGTGCAGGAGCCTTGGGCAGGGCGAGATGGGAAGGGCTGGGGTGGTGGTGGCCCTGCAGGGACACCTCTCACGGGGTGCCAGGGGACAGCTGGGCTGGGGCCTTACTTTGTATCGTCTGTCACCTCCACCTCGGTGGGGGCTGTGATGGGGGCGTTCGAATGTCCTGCCGTCGGGTCATCTGTGTTCAGCTCTCCGTTGGTGGAGCTCATCACCTGGGGAGAGATGAGTGTCAGCAGGGGCAGCCCAGGGGTCTGCAGCCCTTTCCCTCCCTGAGGGGCACAGGAGCCACCCAGGAGACCGCCCAGCTCTGCCCTTGGTGGCAGGACGGTGCCCTCACCCAGACCGCAGTGCTCGGCCTCGGTGCTGAGCCCTGCCCAAGAGCCCCATCACAACAGAGAGCTCTGAGCCCCTCAGAACAGCCCTGGAAGGATCCCAGCTCCTGGGACCCTGCACCAGGAGAGGGGCGTGATGGCAGCCAGCTCCAGAGTGGGTGACAGACCGGGCCTGGCAAAGCTGACAGCTCCAAGGAGCGCTTCCCACAGCTGAGCATCTGGACACGACTTCTGCTTCCCAGCACCAAGACTCAGCCCAGTGCCTGCCCTGCGGGCTCAGGCATCCCTGAGCTCCTGCCCACTCACCAGGGCAGCAGGGTCAGCCACAGTGCCAGGGCCAGGAGGACATCCAGGCCACCAAGGCAATTGTGGGATGCCTGAATCACCATCCTGTGCCTGCTGCCCACAGGCAAAGCCAGAGCTCCCTGGGGATGCACAGGCCAAACACTCCCCAAGCTGCTCGGCCCCGGCGAGGACCCTGGGCCTTGCCCAGCCCCCTGGAGGAGCTGCCACCCCACAGGCAGTGCCCAGCCAGCAGGGACACGTCAGGCTCCAGCCCCTGACGCCAGCACAGAGACCCCTGCACATCACCCCGCAGTGCCGGGCACAGGCGGAACATGGCAGGAGGGTTTGCAGAGCAGGACTGGGGAGGAGGAAGGGGATGAGGGACAGGAGGAGCGAGGCAGAGCATGAGCTGGGCCCACGGAGTGCCCGGGCCTGCCTGGCACCACGGAGTGCCCGGCCCTGTGATGGCAACAGCGGGAGCTGTGCCCAGGTCTGGGGCTGAGCACCAGCAGAGTCCCTGTGGAGCAGCAGGAACGAGCGAGAGCGGCGGGGACGGAAGCAGAGACAGAGGAAGCGGCGCAGGCCCAGCCAGGGGATCCAGCATGGATGTGCCATGGATGTGCCATGGATGTGCCACCATCCATGAGGGAGGCACCCCCAGGCCCAGGCAGGGCTGAGCAGCAGCGGGCAGGAGGCGGCGAGGGCGGCGAGCACGGACGGGGCTGACGGCGCCAGCACAGAACCGAGGCAGGGCCACGGCAGGGACATGGCCAAGGAGTGCCCAGGAAGGGAGGAGAAGCAGGGCTGGGAGCCAGGGCTCCAGTCAAGGAGGAGCAGGGAGGTCCCTGCTCAGATGAGCGGCACTGGGGGCAGAGCAACGCCCACCCAGCTGCTGTGCTGCAGAGTGCCTGCCTGCCATCCATCCATCCATCCATCCATCCATCCATCCATCCATCCCCAACCACCTCTAACTCCCCCTGGCAGCACCAAGGGAGCCCAGCAGCCCTCAGGAAGCAGCACCAGCCTCATCTACGAGCCGTGATCATCCCAACACACCACAGGGACAGGCAGAACCTGCTGCACCCTGGCATGTGCAGCCCTGGGGTGGGGGAGCGGGGCTGATGCCCAGGGTGGCTCCGCTCCCTCCCGTGCCCGCCCTGCCCCAGGAGGTTTCATGTACCTGCACGGACCCCCCGAGCCTGCCGGCTGCCAGGTGAGCTCCCAAAGGCTCCTCGGCAGGCTGCCCACCGGCCTGAGGATCCCACACCTCCGTCCCCTCGGGCGGCTGCTCGCGACAGGCAGGAGGAACAGAATGAAAAGAAACAAAAGAAAAAGAGGGAGAATGGGGAAGAGAAGGGAGAAGTGGAGGGAACGGGTGGGAAAAGTGGCAAAGGGAGTCGAGAAAATAAGACATGCAAAAGCAAAAACATGACCGGAGCAGCTCGAGTTGGTGATTGCGGAGGGCACCGTGCAGCACCGTCCCTGCGGTGACAACGGGGGTCTGTGTCCCCCTGCCACCCACACACACACCCCAGGGCCAGCCCCACGCAGCCCCTGGAGCAGGGCCAGCTCCAGCAGGGCTGGGGCCGTGTTTGGGAGCGGGCTGGGGCAGCAGAGCCGGAGCTGCAGCCAGGCCCAGGCGACGCCGCATCCCCAGGACGACGCAGGGCTCGGGCTCAGCAGGGCCTGAGTGGCACCAGCTGGGCCAAACCCTCCTGAGTGAGCACAGCACGGCCCCAGAGCTGCGGGGACACCCTGTGTCCCCAGGCAGGGCTTGGACACCCTGTGTCCCCAGGCTGGACACTGCGCCCGTGCTCCAGGAGCTCTGTGCTTTGCTCTTCCCCCTGCTCTGGAGAGGGATGTCCACCATGGCATTTCCCTTGGTGGGGGCACAGAGCAGACCTTGCTGGGAGTGAGCTCCCAGAAATGAGACAGAGGTGATTGATTTGACATTTTCCTCTCCCTAAGGAAGCTCTGCCAGGCTCCCTGTGCTGGGCAGGAGCAGTGTGGGTAGCACAGAGTGCTGTACCCCCTGCTCCAGCCCCTCTGCAGGTGCTCTGCCCCCAAGGAGGTTTGGGAGGACAAGGGTTTGTACCGGACTGCTGGAAACACATGAGGTTTGCTCTCAGTGGCAGCAGTGCCAGAGACATATGTCCTGCACCAGGGCACGACAGGCCACAGCACTGGAGCAGTTCTGAGCCCCTGGCCCCTTTCCCACACTGATCCCTGCCCCAGGCTGGGCACCCTGTGCCCTGCCTGTTGCCAGAACAAAGGCAGCCCCAGCGTGGGGCAAAATGCTGCCAAGCTGCCCCCCAGTCCTGCCCTCCCTTGTCCCATGTCACTGTCCCATCGATGGAAGGGCATCACAAGCACAGCAGCGAGTCACCCCATGGGGACAGTGTCCTTAGAGGTGGCTCAGCTTGCACCAAGCCCTGCCCCACACCCCAGGCTGGACCCTGCCCCTCCCCAGCTGATGTCCAGGCCTGGCACTCCCCCCCCAGCCACACTCCAGCCCCCACAGTGCCTCCTCCCTGTCCTGCCAGGCCACAGGGACACTGCCCTGGCCCAGTGAGCCACAGACCCGAGCTGTGGGAGGGAACTCCTCCCACAGACAGCGCTGAGGGAAAGCCATGTCCCAGTCCCTGCCACCAACCATCCCTGCTGGGCTCCACATCCCTGGAGCTGCCCAGCCCATGGTCCCCTGCCCCAGGCAGGCTGTGCCATTGCTCACCTGGTGTTTGGTGTGTGGCTGTGCTTTGTCTCTGTTCGAGGGCTGCACCTGCACCTCGCTGTGCATCGTGCCAATGGGGGTGGGCTGGGGACACAAAGGACAATGTCAGTGCAGCACAGAGCCCTCCCAGCACCCCACAGCCAGATCCAACATGCAAAACCCCCAGAAATCAGGGCTTGATCACTGCCCCTACCCCCGCCCCAGCAGTGCCATGCTTGGTATCTGGGTGCACTGAGCCCAAGGAACGCACCTATGGCAGTGAAAGAGCTCAGAGCCTCAAATTCCCATGTCACAGCCCTGGAGCTGTGACTGGTGAGGAGGATGGAGCTGGACACAGTGTGTGGCAGGGATGGCTGAGTGCCACCTCCTCCCTGGCTGCTGTCCCTGCTCCCTGGGGTGCCCTCCCTGTGCCCCAGGCCCTGGGCTCTCACTCACCAGAGGTTTCCCTGCCCAGTCGTATTCGTAGTCGAACACGTAACCGTTCCTCTCGAACAAGTCTGTGAAGAGCTTCCTCAGGTAGTCGTAGTCGGGCTTCTCGAAGAAATCCAGGCGCCGCACGTAGCGCAGGTACGTGGCCATCTCCTCTGTGGGGACAGGGGGCTCAGAGGGGCTCAGGGGACAGCACAGGGGCTCAGGGCAGGGGCTGGGCTGGGCACAGCTCTCACCTGGGAAGTTCTCACAGAGCACCTCCACTGGGGTGGCTCTCTTGGTGTCACCGATCTTCTGGTACCTCTCCTTTAGTGTGTCAGCCTGGTGGCGACAAGGGGGGTCAGCACAGGGGCCAGCACTGCCCTGGGCTGTCACCCATCTCACCATCTGCGATTTTTTAGGCCCCCTTTCCCAGGTAACTCCTTCCCAGGAAAGTCCCCCCTGGGCAGGTATGCAGGACAAACGCCAGGGTTTCCAGGACAGCCACTGTGAGAGCAGCTGTGGGGACACAGGGAGACTGCACAGCACTGCAAGGGCCTGGTGTGGAGCTCAGAGCTGGCAGGGTGCTAACCCTCCAACATCCCAGGGGCCAAACCTTCCCCCTCCCCATGCCAGGGCACAGCCACACCCACAGGAAGCCATGCCCAGGGGCAGCAGGAGCTGGCAGTTACCTTGAGGCCTTGCCAAGGAAGGCTCCCACGGAGGAAGTACATAAACATGTGCCCTAATGCTTCCAGGTCGTCCCTGCGGCTTTGTTCTGCATGGAGAAAGAGACATGGGTCAGTTCCCACCCCAGCCACTGTCCCTGTCCAGCCCCCAGATCCTGCAGCACCCTGAAGAGCAGGAGAGGCAGCTTGTGCCCATCCCCACCTCTGCCACCCCTGCCCTGCAGTCCCTCCCTTCAGCAGGAGGCAGGGCTGGCTGCCTGTGCCACACACCTTTCCCCAGGTGGGTGTTGATGCTCATGTAACGTGCTGTCCCTGTCAGGCTCTTGTGCTCTCGGTAGGGGATGTGTTTTTTGGTCTCGGGGTCGATGTACTCTTTGGCCAGGCCAAAATCGATGATGTGGATGGTGTGCTGCCGCTTGCTGCCCGGCCGCCCCACCAGGAAGTTCTCTGGCTTCACATCTCTGTAGATCAGGCTTTTGGTGTGCACATACTCCATCCGTGTGATCTGGGGCACAAGGAGGTGTCAGTGCCACGGCAGAGCCCCCACCCTGTGTCCTGCACACCCCTGCCCTGGGCACCTCTCCCCTGCTCCCCTCAGCCAAGGATGGGCACATCAGCTCCTTCCCACCATGGGACACAGCCCCAGCCCAGCTGCACCCTGGGCACATGTCACAGACATCTTTTATGAAAACTCCTTTCCTTAGGATTTTTCCTCCTGAAAAGCTGAAAAGCCTCAAAAACAAAATGTAAACAATGGTTATCTGCTGTAGAATGCAACAAGTAGATCTGTGATTGGTCTCACAGAGTTGTTTCTAATTAATGGCAAATCACAGTCAGCTAGCTCAGACTTTCTGTCCGAGACACAAGCCTTTGTTATTCATTCCTTCTATTGCTATTCTTGGCTAGCCTTCCGACAAAATCCTTTCTTCTATTCTTTTAGTATAGTTTTAATATAATATATATAATAAAATAATAAATCAAGCCTTCTGAAACATGGAGTCAGATCCTCATCTCTTCCCTCATCCTCAGAGCCCTGTGAACACGGGCACAGGCACACAGTGAGATGCTCTGGGCACATTTAGAGGCTTGTCAAGGCTCAGAGAGGGGCTGAGAAGGGTGGAGAGCTCCCCCTCAGCAGGGATGGGGTGAGCCAGGTTGGGTTGTGCCAGCATCTTCCCCTTATTCCCCATGGCATGCCCATGCTGCCTGCCCATGGTGCCCACACACCCCCTGCTCACCAGGGCAGCCATGCAGGGCTGCAGGGGAGGTGCAGGGCTGCAGGGGAGCAGTGCAGGGCTGCAGGGGAGCAGTGCAGGGCTGCACTCACCAGCTGGATGGCAATCATCAGGACAGTTTTGAGCGTGAAGGTTCGATCACACAGATCAAAGAGATCTTCCAGGCTGGGTCCGAGCAGCTCCAACACCATGGCGTTGTACTTCCCACAGGGGCCAAAGTAGTAAACCTGAGGAATTCCTTCTGCAAGAGATGGAGCAGGGGCTGTGCAGGGCTGCAGCAGGGCCAGGCTGTCACAGCCATGCCACTGCAGGGGGGGATGTCCCTGCACAGCCAGCCTGGCTCTGCTCAGAGCAGCTCCATCTGCATCCCTGACTCTGCTGAGGGGGTGGTGGGGGGAAAGAACTAAATCAAAAGAGATCAAAGATGAGACAAGGCATCTGTGCGAAACCCTGTGGAGCAGATGGGCAGGAGCTCCAGCTGGGGGTGAAGTTGCAGAGTCACATTTAGGGGAAGCCTCTCTCCCAGCAGCCCCCCAGCCCAGCCCAGCCCAGCCCGTACCTGCATTGCCGAGCTGTTTGTAGAACCGATACTCCAGGTGCAGCTGGGGGGCCCGGGATTTTATGGGTTCCTTGGAGGAGAGAAAGGAGAACAGTTATGTAGGAAGCAGGATGTTCAGGGGGTCTGGGTGTCAGACACATCTTTCACACACTGGCAGGAGCTGGACTGAGAGCTTTTGGGGTTGGGAGTAAGTGGTATAAAATGGAGATGAAGCCTCAGGGGATGATGAGAGAAAATCAGCCCACGTGGGAGCCAGATCATCTCATCCAGAGAGGGAAAAACATTAATGGGATCAGGTACCAGTGGGGCCACCCTCTGTGCTGCTGGCACTGGCTGAGCACAGCACAGGCCACGCTGAGGGCTGGGAGAAGCAAGACTCAGCTCTTCCCTGCCCAGACCTGGATCATTCCACCTGCAGGGATGTGGGTTCCCATCAATTCCCACCACATCCATCACATCCCAGCCCAACGCCATGGGAGAAAGGGCAGAAGCTCCTTCCCAATGGCTGGAACATCCCCCACCCCACCACGGAGGAACTCCCTGCTTTGACAGCCACTCACCAATTTGATAGCTACGTATTCATTTGTGTAGAGATTCTTCCCTGCGGGGAGAGACACAAAAAGGAGATGAAAAGCAGATCCTGCATCACCCCCACCACACATCCACCCCTGTCCCTGAGGGCTCCTGGGCTCACAAACACTCTGAACAGGTTCTGCAGCTCCCACAACACCTGAAGGAGCCTCAAGGCACGAGGAGCAGCAGAATCCACTGTGGGGAGTTGCAACATGCCTGCTAATTATCCCCAGGTGGGGAGTGTGGATTCCTCTGGGATGGGGAGGAATGGGGCTGGAGCCAAGGCTGGTGGGAGGGGGCAGCAGCAGGGAGGGGACAAGGCTGAGACTTGGTGCTCCCAAAGGGGGAGGGGGCTATGGAGGGATGGCCAGAGCTGGGGGACACTGAGTTATGGCCAGGGGGACCCTGCAAAGGGTGGCAGGGAGGAGAGACACCCAGGAGCACTGGCACAGCTGGCAGAGCTCTGAGGGCACCACAGGCAGGTGGGAATCTGTTCCCCAGGGCTGGGGTCACTCCTGGGAATGGCACAAGCTTGTGTGTATGTGTGTGTGAATGAACCTCATCCCTGGGGATGCTCCTGCCCACCCAAGGGCACAGGAGAGGCCAGGAGCAGATCCATGGCATGGCCCAGACTGCACGAGGAGCTGAAGGCTGCAGGAAGAACAAGGGGAGTGAAGGAGCAGATCCATGGTATAGCCCAGACTGTACAATGAGGTGAAGGCTGCAGGGAGGGCACAGGAGAGGCCAGGAGCAGATCCATGGCATGGCCCAGACTGTACAATGAGGTGAAGGCTGCAGGGAGGGCACAGGAGAGGCCAGGAGCAGATCCATGGCATAGCCCAGACTGTACAAGGAGCTGAAGGCTGCAGGGAGGGCACAGGTGAAAGCAGGAGCAGATCCATGGCACGGCTCAGAGTGTACAAGGAGCTGAAGGCTGCAGGGAGGGCACAGGAGAGGCCAGGAGCAGATCCATGGCACGGCTCAGAGTGTACAAGGAGCTGAAGGCTGCAGGGAGGGGACTGAGGAGTGAAGGAGCAGCTGTGGCACCCAGCACCCTGTACAGCACCCCCAGAGGGCTCCACACCTGCACAGCACTTTGCACACCATAACCACAGGAAGGTTGAGCTCAGGGTGCCTCCACATCCCCCCCCAGACCAGGAAAAGGGGACACAGCTGGGAAGCAGCAGCACAATCTCTGCCCAGGCCCACAAAGGCCAAGATTAAAGGTGCAGGAACAGCTCTGAGTGCTCCCTGTGCCTGCAGGGACCTGGGCAGGAGGGGGTTAAGGGCAGCAGGGATCCCCAAGGCTGCCATGTGGGGATCTGATGGAGCTGCATCTGTCTCCTCGGATTTTCTCCAAGCAATTTGCTCAGGGAACAAGCTCCTCCTGGCCTAAGATTTCATCTGCTCCCAGGGCTGCTCTCCACCTGAAGCAGCCATAAATCCTGGCTGGGTGACATCAGAGGCAGCTGCTGAGCGCCAGGATTATGGGAGAGGGATGAATGGGAGATATTAATGGAGCAGCTCCTCCCAGGGATGGGCTCTGCAGCCAAGGAGGGGCTCAATCCTGCTGCCCCCCTGACCCTCTCCCATCCCTGGGGACCTCTGCCAAGCCACTCTGTCTGCTGCTGCATAAAGCAAATCCCTTCACAGAGATTAGGGAGGAAGGGATTTGGGAGGGAGGGAGAGAGGAAAGTCTGGTGAACACAGCGTGTGCAGATGCAGGGGTTTGTCCCATCACACACTGACACTTCCTGGGGAGCAGGTGGGACACCCCCAGACCTGTGCATGGCTCCACAGGGCCCTACAGTGCAGTCTAAAACAATTACTGCTGCCTTCAGGGCAGAACGTGGGATCAGAGAACTCACAGCTGGATTTTCCCTGAGGTCAGGCAGGATTTGAAGGGGGAAAAATGTAACATGGCAGGAAAATTGCCACAGGCACACTGCAAAAGGGACTCAGCAGGGATGGAGGCATTCTCAGCAGGAGAATCCCCAGCAGTGGCATCTGTCCTGTCCCCACCACACAGAAAGCTACCAGCAACAAGGCTCTGGAGCTGGCAGAATTCTCCCAGCCCAAAAATGAGTCCAAATAATTTGGTATTCCCCTGGTTCAGCCCTTCCTAGGGGGGCTTGGACACAGCTTATGGGCAAGATGTGAGCAGAGAGGGTATGGAATGGTCAAATCACCACTCTCTGCTTCCCCTTTCCGAATTAAAAAAGGTGCAAATAGCAGAACTGGGGACTGGGAACCGTCATGAGATTAATAAACCAAGAGAAAAGAAAAGCAAAGAGCAAGGAGGGAGGATCCTCCCATGCCAGGGAATTCCCCACTCCAGCTCCTGGAGCCATCCCCTCTGCCCCAGTGCTCACAAGGGCACAACTCTGACACCCAAAATGTGCCAGAGCCCAGGGAGTGCCTGGGAGGACTGGAGCAGGCAGGACTTGCAGCACAAAAGGTGCTTGTGAAAGGAAATAAAAGAGAAAAGTGGTGAGATGGGTGGCAGGAAGCAAATATTTGCACTGCAGGGGCCTTTGCCCAGCCAGAGGTGCCTCCAAATCCATCTGGCAGCAGCTGCAGGATCAGAGAGGGATCAGAACAGGCTGAGGGCAGGAGCAGGCAGCCAGGCTGTGTTTAGAGCAGGAGCTGGCTCTCTGTGCTGCCCCTGGCCAGGATTTGGCAGCAGAGCCCAGCACCTGCTCCTGCACGTCAGGAGGAGTGGGCTCAGCTCTGGCTCCCAGCTGGGTCCCGTCCCAGCAGCTCAGAGCCACGGGATCACAGCAGCTTTAAGGTGGGAAAAGACCTTTCAGATCACCACTGACCATCAGCCAGCAGCACCACCACGTTCACATTAGCCCATGTCCCCAAGTGCCACTTTCACACCTTTTTGAACACTTTGTGGGTGGTGACTCCACTCCTACCCTGGGCAGTCTGTTCCAACGCTTCACAAACCTTTCAGTGAGTGAAGAAATTTTCCCAATTTCCAATCTAAACCTCCCCTGGCCCAGCCTGAGGCTGCTCCCTCTCCTCCTGTCCCTGTTTCCTGGGCTGTCCCTCCTGTCAGGAGCTGTGCAGAGCCACAAGGGCCCCCCTGAGCCTCCTCTGCTCCAGGCTGAGCCCCTTCCCAGCTCCCTCAGCCTCTCCTGGGGCTCCAGACCCTTCCCCAGCCCCATTCCTGTCTCTGGACACGCTCCAGCCCTTTGCTGTGAGGGGAAAAGTGAGCACTGAGGCTGCCCCTTGCCCCCGGCACAGCACTGTGCCCATGGTGGGCACCTTTGTGGCTGTGCCTGGGCACCAGGATGGGAATTTGGCTGTGTTTGGGCACCAGGATGGGAATTTGGCTGTGTCTGAGCACCAGGGTGGGAATTTGGCTGTATCAGGGCACTGGGATGGGAATTTGGCTGTGCCAGGGCACTGAGATGGGAATTTGGCTGTGCCTGGGCACCAGGATGGGAATTTGGCTGTGCCTGGGCACTGGAATGGGAATTTGGCTGTGCCAGGGCACTGAGATGGGAATTTGGCTGTGCCTGGGCACCAGGGTGGGAATTTGGCTGTGCCTGGGCACCGGGATGGGAATTTGGCTGTGCCTGGGCCAGACTGGGACTGGCACCAGGTCCCTGCACTGCCCAGGATGCCAAGGCCAGCAGGGACAGGGAGAAGCAGGATCCAAATGCACAGCCCTGGCAGCCACAACTCCTGCCCACGTCATTCCCCTTCTGGCTTGCCACAAATGCCTGATGCCAATTGTTTTTTTAGATTTTATCTTTAAACAGATCACTTGATTTTGGACACCTCCTACATGGGTGGACATCTGTCTCTCCCTGGGGCAGCTGGGCTGAAGCACCCTAAGGACAGATCACCACGTGCCCCTTGGTGGGGTGCAGAAATAAGGCAATGTGGTCCCTTTTTGGGGAAGACAATGTCCCCTTCCTCCCTCCCCACCACTGGGAGCTGGAAGATCACCTCCAGGTACATTTTTTCAAGATTTTGTGGCCTTTTTCATGAGAGCAAAAAGGCCAAAGAAGATCTGGGAGCTTTTAAATACCGAGCTGCAGTTTGGCCTCTAAAGCCTTGAGGACTGAATTCTCTATTCCCAGGGAAATCTGAGTGCCCAGCAAGAGCTGGGGAACATCCCTGCTCATGCCACCACTTCACAGCAGGAGCCCTCTGGTCCCTTGCCATTCATGTGCAGCTGGAGGAATCCCTAAATCCTGAAAGCATTCCTGAGCCCTGATGCAGTCTGGAGGCACACCTAAGGAAGAGAGATGTGATTTTAGGAGAGAAGCCACATAGCTGTGGTGATGAGATCCCGTGCTCAGGCCTCTGGCATGTTATGGCCAGGCACTGCAGGGTGTGACAGCTGAAAAGCCACGTGGAGGGACTGGAAGCTTCTCTTGCTGGTGGCAAGGACAAACTCTCACTGTGACAATCGACCACTGTGTAGCCCTGGAGTGAGAGCTGGCTGCTTGTCCCTGCAGCCAGGAGCAAACTGAGCCCAACTGCTCCCAGGTCCCTGCAGCAACCTCCCTGCCAGTTTGACAGACATTGCTCAGATCCATGTCACACTCGTGTCCCCTCACTGAAAATGAGGGGGAGGCCAAGGCAGGGGGGTCACAGTGACCCTCAGCACTGAGCACAGCAAAGCAACACAGCCCCAGCCTCCTGCCAGGATCCAGCTCACCCAGAAACACAGATCCACTGCAGAATGCTCAGTGGCAAGCAAGGAAAAGGAGGTGCAAGGACACAGGTGGAGCCTGCACAACTCAGGGCTCTCTGGGAGGCACTGGCAGCAGGAGTGGCCAGATCAACCCAGGGAAATGAAAGGAGCAGCTGGTGCAGCAAAACCCCCCAGTAAGCTCTCCTTCCACAAGCCCTGGGTCTGGAGGAAGGCTCAGAGCTCCTCATGACAGCAGGACAGACAGCTGAGCAGGGGAACTGCTGGGCTGCATTTCCAGCAGAGCGTTTCCCCAGCTCTGCAATTACACAGCGGGGAAGCGCGGGGAGGGGACGGGCGAGCCTGGCACCAGGCAGTCTGTCACACAGGGCAGAGCTGACATTAACTCCCCACACAGGCAGGGGGGCACTGACCTCACCCCAGCCAGGGCTGCCACAGCTCCTCCCCAGGCCCACGGTCAGGGCAGGTTTAGCTCAGAGCTCAGAGCAGGTTTAGTTCAGAGCTCGGTTTGAGAAGGCGCTGCTTAAAATATCACAGAGCAACAAGGCTGTGGCTGTGCCAGGCTCTGGGGGCTGCCTCTCCTCCCTCTCCCCAGAGCACAAGCCCCTTCCCAAAGCACTCACACCAAGCTGGCAGGGACTCCACCCACACATTCCTGGAGACATCCAGACTGTGCTGCTGGCACAGAGGCGCCTGGCCCTGCCTGATGCCAAGCAAAGGGTTAACAGCTTGCTGAAAGTCTCCAGGGACATTCCCAGTCCTGGGAGAGGAGCAATCTCCCCCTCCAAATCCTCCAAACAGGAGTTTGCATGAAGAGTTTCCTGATAAACTTGGTTCAAAATGGAAAATGACTATGGAAGATGCTTGGGTTTTATTCCTCCCTTTCTCTGGCCTGCACAGAATTTCAGGAGTCTCTCAAACAACCAGTTTCAACAACTGAAGAATTTACCCAGGATAAAACACAAATGGAAAATCTAGATGTTTGTCCCAGCAGAGTGAACATCCCTCAGGCCCCCATGCTCCATCCCCTGTCCCGAGGCACACCCAGAGCACAAGTGGGGTGAGATTTGTGAGCCCACAGTGGGATCTCCTGAATCCTTCCCCACTCAGTGTTCCTGCATTTGGGGGACACCCAGATCTCCATGGCCACCACTGCTTACAGCAGACAGATCCAGCCTGCAGTGCTCTCCCTGACAGACCCAGAGAGCAACAGGCATGGGAGGAGATGGGAAACACCTCTGCAATGAGTCCTTTGGGCTGGGATGGGCCTTGGTAGATCAAATACAAATGGAGGAAGAGGAACAGAACAGGGGCAACGCTTCCACTCTGTGTGCCCAGTCAGCGCCACTGTGCCCATGGCCACAGGCTGGTGCAGGAGGAGGATGCCAGGGCAGTCCTGGCAGGAGTGGGTACAGTGAGGTACAGTGAGGACAGACATGACCCTTCTCACCTAGACGGAGCTCCCCGAAATTGCCGCATCCAATCTTCTTGCCGACGCGGAAGTTGGGACCCACCATTAAGACTCCCGAGTTGGTTCCAGCACCCCGGCCTCCATGACCACTCCTTCCTCCACCTGTCTTGGACATTCTTTTACCTTCCTCCAGCTCCCCTTTCCCTCCTCTCTTATCAAAATCCATAAGTTTGTGATACCCCGGCCTCTCCACGGTTACGCTGCTGCCATACAAATCCCAGAGCTGCCGAAAATGGAAGGGTGAGGAGGACACAAGCAGGGTTCCTCTTGGTTAATACAGCATCCCGGGGAGCGCTGGGAGGGTGGGGGCTGGAGAACCAGGGGCAAGAGGCCGTCCAGGGCTGCTGGGCTACTGCAATGTCAGTGCTTCCCAAGGTCCTGCCAGGACTGGCATCATCGCCGCTCACAGGGAGGTCTTTGGTGGAGAGAACATCCTGCACACAGGGTCCTCCCAGCGCAGCTCCTTGGCGTCCCAGCTGTGCAAAGAGAGAGGCACGAAATCAGGATGAGAAGGCAGAGGGTAACAGAGGGCTCTGGGCTCCTCAGAGTCCCTCCAGCACCTTCCCTGCAGTCAGGTAATTCCTACAGCAGTGACAGTGCTGCAGTTGAGGGGTGGGAGAAGCTGGGATAAACATCAGCTCCCAGAGTGCCCCATGCCTGAGATGTTGGTTTAAATAAACAAATGAATTTAAAAAGCTTGGTCAGCTGGAGGTGAAATGGTTGATGAGTGGCTCCATGCTGGAGCCAGCCAGGAGTGATGTGGGGACAGAACTGTCCCCATGGGGAAGGGCTGCTGGCAGCTCCTGGAAGCATTCAGAGACACCAGCCAGGGACTCTGGGAGCCCCCAGGAGCAGGGGACACAGTGAACCCAGCATTGTGGGGCTGCCCATGGAGTGAAACTGATTTCACCTGGCTGGGAGGGTCCCTGTGGATCCAGGGGCAGGGGCCAGGATCCTGTGCCAGCAGCCCTGCCCAGGACACGGTTCCTGGGGAACAGCCACGCTCAGGGCACCCTCAACAGCCCACCTGGGCTGGGGAAACACCCACTTGGCAAACAGGAACCTGCTAACATCCCACTGCCTCCTCCTCTGCTCTCATCAACCAACCTTGATTTTCATTGCAAAGCTGGGAGCGAGGCCCCTTGGCTGTGACACTGGCCAGAACAAATGATGCTCATGGCAGCTTGTTTGCTCAGGGTGCAGCACCTTGCCTGCCTTGTGTGCTCCCATGAGACTGCTGGAAAGCCCCCAAGCTGCTGGTGGGGTTATCTGGGTTCCCCTCCACAGGCAGCAATCAGCTCAGCCCCCAAACCAGGGAGCTCCTTCTTGTGTGCACAGCCCTGCTTGTGGCTGGATGAGGTGACCTTTAAAGGTTCCCCCAACACAAACTACTCCATGATTCCATGGCACTGGCTCCACACACATCCCTGTGCAAGCCCAACATCACCCAGTAGCCCAACATCAAGGCCAACCAAAGCCTTGAGTCCTCCTGGACACAAGACTGGGATGAAAAGAACCATGGAGCTGCTCTGTGCTCCTCGAGGAGCCAGGTGCCCAGGAGGGATCTGTGCTCTCCCTCCCTGCACTGGGGAGGTCAGGCTGGGTTCCTTCTCACAAGGAGGCAGAAAAGACAGTCAGGAAACTAAACATGGACAGAAGGGATCAAACAGGATCTGGGCACATGAGATACCCACACCTCCTTTTCTCCCTTGCTCTGGTTTTGCTCCCAGCTTGACCCTTGCCATCCTTTACTCTGCTCCCTCCCCACCTCTCTCTGCTCCTCTCCAGCCCCTGTGACACCACTGAAAGCTCCCAAGAGCTCCCAGGGCCACCACAGACTCCTGCTGACCCCCTGGGTTATCCAAACAATCCCCCCCTCCAGCTCCAGGAAATGAACACACTGCGAGCTCTGAGGCTGGGCCAAACCCCGTAAAACTTTTTATTGGCTCTCAATAGCTATTAATAACAAAAAATAAAATTAAAAAAAAAAAAGCTTCTCATGCTCAAGGGTACACAGAGGGAAACGTGGGAGCTCTAAGAACAACCCAGGGAAAAAGACACCAAAGCCAGAGCTCAGCAGGGGGAAGCACTGGCTGTGTAAGGGTCCAGGGGCAGGACAGCCCCTGAGGGGGGCTGACGCCAAATCCTCCCTCTCCTCAGCACCCTGGCACACTGCCACTGCTCCCCAGGAGGGACCAGAGCTGCTCCAAAGGCACAGAGTGCTGGGGTGCCACTTGTGGGACCTGCCTGCTCAAGCACAGCAGAATAAGGCTTTCATACACCATGGGAGCCCCCTCCTGCCCCCATCCACCACCCCTGGAGCATCCCTAGAGCACAACAGCCTGGCTGTCTGAGGCCACAACACACCAACAACAGACACCATCCTGCTGCACGAGGGAAACTGAGGCACGGGGAGCCCTCCATGGCTCCCAAAGCTGGGCAGCCCCGTGCTGGCTGCTGCCCTGCTGCTCCCTTCCCCCAGAGCGTGTCCGTGCCAGCAGGAAGCGCGCTGGGAGCGGCAGGAGCAAGGGCTTCCCTGAGCTTTGTTCTGCCCCAGCCCCGAGCACGCTGGGCCCACACGTGACATCCTGCTCATTCTTCACTGCCCCGATGGTTTCCGCTCCGGGTTCAGCACTTGGGGCTGCCCTGGCGACCTCCTCATGCCTGTCCCCCCCCTCATGCCTGTCCCACCCCCTCATGCCTGTCCCACCCCCTCATGCCTGTTCCACCCCCTCATGCCTGTCCCACCCCCTCAGGACACCAAACTGTTCCCTCACAGCCTCCCCGAGCAGGCAGCTCACACCTTGGCATTCAGGGAGCTGCTTTCCCAGCCACAAGGGGAGCAGCTGGTGATGCACAGCCCTGCTGCAGCTCCATAACCTGTTTTCCTTCTCAATCCGAGCTTTATGCTCAGTCCCAGGGGATCCCAGGCCCAGACTGTTTGCACAGAGTCAGGCGGCCGCCAGCCAGAGCTTGGGGAGCTCCAGCCCCGGCGCTTGGGATTATTTTCTTTGAAGAGTTATGGGCCAGCTCTGCAAGGGAATTTCAGACAATGAAGTGAGGCAGAAGGGAAAAATTCAATCCTGTTTCCTGTGAGCACAAGGGAGACTGTGCTGCCCTTTCCCAGCCCTGACAAACACAAGGAGCAGCTCTGGTCCTGCCTGCGGAGCCTCAGGAGCTCTCCTGGAGGGGCCCAGCTCCAAACTCCAATTTCAGGCAGCTGGGCCAGATTCACACCCAGAGGCCACAGCCCAGCCCCCCGTGCTGGGACTGCCAGGCTGCAATTGCCCCTTTCCCAAGCAGAGCAGCAGGAAGTCCCTAAACCAAATCCTTGTGAGTCAGGGCACTGATGCTCCCTCACACTCTGCCCACCAGCCTCCCCCGTGGATGAGCCAAGGTCCCCCATGGACGAGCCAAGGGCTGGGAGGAATTGATTTTCTCATCCCAGGAGTGCTGAGGAGACACAGTGGCTCCCTGGACCTCAGGACAAAAGCAAGACCCACGTCTGTGCAGTGTCAGTGACTGCTCAGGTTTTCCACCCTGTGCCATAAAAGGATCACTGGCCTTTAAAATTGAGAACAACCTAATTAGAAACAGAAACTTTTGGTAAAATCCCAGGACTCCCACTGCTCCAGGGCAAAAAAACCCCCTGTGTTTGTTAAAACACAGCAGCCTTTGGACAGGCAACAGGGACCCAGACCTGGCCCATCCTCCCCAGGCAGCAGCAGCATGGGGGCAGATTCCCTGCATAAAACTGATTTCACAATGTTCCATTCTGCACAGGAATCCTCTCCCAAAAGGTCACAGCGAGGCAAGAAGCCTCAGGAAAGCACCTTCTAGGCTGGATTTGCTGGCCTGGAATCAAATCTGATGCAAGATGAGACTAAGAAAACTTGTTTCTCTCTTTGGGAGGGAGTGGGATAAATAAAGAAAAAAAAAATGAATTGTCCTGAAATTTGGCAGAAGAAATTCCAAAGCAAGCTGTGGTCTTAAAGCAAATAAGCAGTGCCCTGTGGTGTCTGCAGTGCCAGGGATCCTGCAAGGGAAACAAACTGCAGGCAAGTGCCTCAGCACCCCAAAACAGAACCTGAGAAGCACTGGAAGTGCCATAAAAATGGGGCAAGCCCACACACCCTGATTCCCAAAGAGGGAGTTCACAGTGCTTTTGTTGAAACATTGGGTCCTTTTTCTTTGCCATCTGGTTTTAAGCAGGTCAGAGCTGCTCCAGTCACATTTACAAGTTTTCCCCTGCAGATGCAAAGGTGAGAAAAGGGGAATTGGGGTTGGGGGGAGTTGGTTTTTTTTCCCTTAAAAAAAGAAAAGCTGCAGTTCTAGTGCTACCCCTTGTCTCTGTGACTTGGACCAAAATATCAAGGCTCGGGAAGTTCCTGCCCACATTTGCAAGTATAAGATGCTGAAGAGTTGTATTTTTAAGAATATTTTCCCTGTAGAATGAAACCCTGTGGCTGCTGAGAAGGCACTTGTACAAACCATCTGGGGCACATTGTTCTCAGCCCTTTATATGAACACACACACCGTGTTCCTGCCCAAAGAGGTTACAGCTAAACGGGGCAACACAAAAGAGGGGAAGAAGAGGGGGAAAAAAATAGCAGCAAGTGGCTGGGGAAGGTCAGGGACAGGTCCATGGTGCTGCTTGGAACAGGGTTCAGGTGTCCCTGAGCCCTGGGTGCTGCTCCCTGAGCCCCAGCAGCCTTTGGGATGGTTCTTGGAGCTGCTTTCCCCATGTTCTCTGCACTCTGTGAGCACAAGGGAAACACAGCTGCATCCAGATGAAAGAGAAAGGAAAGCTTCTTGAGAGCACAAAGAGAAAAGCCCTTGACACTCTGCAGCTCCAAGTACAGATCACTGCCAATTAAAGGCTAAAAATAATCACAAATACCCCAATGTCCCAAAGGATGACCCATCAGCTGGCTCCCAGTGCAAAAATCCAGACCAAAAAGCAACCAGTGGCCTTACACAGCTGAAACCAAATCCCAAAAAATTCTAAACGTTAAGAGGCTGAGCTTAGAGGAAGATCAAAAGTCTTAAAACAAAGCAAAGTCTTAAAACATCTTTAAGAGCGAGCTACAAATGGTCCCAAATGATGTCTGCAGGGGTTTGTTGTTAACCACAAGTTCCAGCCTGCAGAGCTGCAGCCAGTCCTGCTTGTCACAGAGCAGAGAAAGCTGTGCCACACAGGTGTCCCAGAACAGGGGGACATGAAAAGCCTCTGCAGGTGTCCCACAGGAGCCAAGGGTTGGGTCACATCAAGTTTCTCATCCACCAAAGTTCCCAAATCCCTCTCTCCAGGACCGATCTCCATCCATTCTGTGTTTGTGTTTGGGATTGTCCCAGCCCATGGCAGGACCTTGTTGAATTTCATGGGTTCCCACCTCTCCAGGTCCCTGTGGATGCCCCATCCCTTCCCTCCAGCTCCACACAGCTCTGTGTCACCAGCAAACCTCAGTGCCACTGT